TCAGTAGGGAAACAAATATGTAATAACTGTGCAAGCTATAAATACTGTAATGTGTTGTCCATTGTCACGCCCTGACTCAGGGGCCTCTTATATGTTGAGTCAGGGTGTGTATATTCTTTGTTATATATATTCTATGTTGTAGGTCTATTATGTGTAGATCTATGTTGGCCGGTGTGGTTCCCAATCAGAGGCAGCTGTAGCTCGTTGTCTCTGATTGGGGACCATACTTAGGCAGCCTTTTGGCACTAGTGGGTTGTGGGATCTTGTTCCGTTTAAGGTTTGTTGTGTGTTACCTTAGGACTTCACGTGTCGTTGGTTTATTGTTTTGTCGTTGTGTTTATTCGTTATAATAAACATGTATGCATATCACGCTGCGCCTTGGTCCGTCCCGTCTTTCAACGAGCGTGAAAGAAGATCCCACCAGACCTGGACCAAGCAGTGTGCCGAGGAGGAGCAGAGAGGATGGACTTGGCAGGAGATAAGAGAGGATCTGGCAAGAAAGATGGAGGCCCTGAAGGGGATCAGGGTGGAGAGGCAACCCCAATAAAACATTTTGGGGGGGCACACGGTGTGGACGACGAGGCAGCAGGAGGCCGCGATAGGGCGGATCTGCTGGTTAGGAGGCCACCAGATTACGGGGGCTATTGGTTCAGAGGGAGCAGGAGGTATTCGGTCAGAGGGAGGCGCTACAGGAGGCTAGAAGGGAGAAGGAAGGTGTAGAGGCACGGCGAGAGGAGCTGGTTAGGCAGCAGAAGGAGCGGGGGTTAATAAAGGAACCCAGTCCTACTCCTCGCACCAAGCAAGTGGTGCGTGTCACCAGTCCGGTCCGGCCCGTTCCTGCTCCCCGCACCAAGTAAGTGGTGCGCGTCGCCAGCCCGGCCCGGCCTGTTCCTGCTCCTCGCACCAAGCCAGTGGTGCGCGTCGCCAGTCCGGCCCGACCCGTTCCTGCTCCTCGCACCAAGCCAGTGATGCGTGTCGCCAGGCCGGCCCGGCCTGTTCCTGCTCCTCGCACCAAGCCAGTGGTGCGCTTCGCCAGTCCGGCCCCGTCCGTTCCTGCCCCTCGCACCAAGCCTGTGGTGCGTTTGTCCAGTCCGGCATGGCCCTGGTCCGGCACCGATCAGCTGTTCCACTCCGGAGACAGAGCAGTCCGCTCCACCGGTGCCTGATCCAGCTCCGGTCAGCTGCGCCACTCCGGAGCCAGAGCAGTCCGCTCCACCGGGGTCCAGTCCAGCTCCGGTCAGCGGCTCCAGTCCAGACCATGACGTCAGCCCCTCTCCAGGTTCGGGGTCTCCCACACCAGGGTCCAGACAGGGCCTGGCGTATCATGGGAGGAAGGAGAGGGGAAGTAGCGCGCCGAGGTCCAGACCAGACCAGGGGCGCAACAGGGAGGCGGAGAGTGAGAGGTCGTCAAGCCACGAGCCGGATCCGCCTCCGAGGCGGAATGCCCACCCGGCCCCTACCCTGTTATGTTTATGTTGTGCGGTCGGAGTCCGCACCTTTGGGGGGGGGGGGGGGGGGGGTACTGTCACGTCCTGACTCAGGGGACTCTTATATGTTGAGTCAGGGTGTGTATATTCTTTGTTATATATGTTCTATGTTGTAGGTCTATTATGTGTAGATCTATGTTGGCCGGTGTGGTTCCCAATCAGAGGCAGCTGTAGCTCGTTGTCTCTGATTGGGGACCATACTTAGGCAGCCTTTTGGCACTAGTGGGTTGTGGGATCTTGTTCCGTTTAAGGTTTGTTGTGTGTTACCTTAGGACTTCACGTGTCGTTGGTTTATTGTTTTGTCGTTGTGTTTATTCGTTATAATAAACATGTATGCATATCACGCTGCGCCTTGGTCCGTCCCGTCTATGAACGAACGTGACATCCATGTAAAAAGCCAGACTTATATTGGAGGATAATGTTACGCAGGACTGTGATACAGTGAGCTTCACACTCTGCCAATATTTTTTGTATCATAACCCATTAGTGTCAATTGTCCCCAGTCTTTATATTGTTGCATATATTTTGTATTTATATCATAATACTTTGTATCTTTTTGATAATACAGAGCTTAGACCTTCTTGTTCGGTATTGGCCACCTTTATCATATGAATGATTCAAACCTTAAAGCAATGGATCATGAATGAGTTCATTGAATGTTTGTTAGACATCAATTAGAATACCATCAAGTCATACCACGAGTATAATTGGCAAACTAATCAGATATACATTTCCAGCACCGCCAATGATGGGCTGATATTCGTTTACATATTTTATGTGGAGAAACATCCCTGTTTTATTGAATTTAATGAGTCCCTATTATAAGTTACAATGAATACCTGGAGGATGGGTTTTTGTACAGCCATGGTTTGTGTCACTGTGTCTCATGGACACAGTAATAAATAGCTGTGTCTTCAGTCTGGAAGTTGTTCCCTTGCAGAAACACTGTACTGCTGGAGCTGTCATAACCAGAACTGATCATGAGTCTACAGTGGAAGTACTACTACTGCATGTATAACCAACATGTTCCAAAGCTTTTGCTTCAGCTTGTCATATCCGTCCAGGACAATAAGAATATATAGAAAACCCAGAGAATTTGCAGGAGATGCTGAAAGACTCTGCTGGTTTTATAACCACTGGACCAGGCTGGATGAGTTCAATATCACAGCAGACATCTGTAATGAGAAACACACATCAATACACAGCATTGTCAGTTTTCATCCGAAATTAGAAATGATCATTCCAGAGTTCTAATAAAGTACTATATATGAAATGAATGGAAATATCAGTAAAAACAAATGTATTTGATTACTGTGCAAGCTATACATACTTTGTGTTGTCCATGTACTCAGTGCAAAATGGGGGGAAATTATGTGATAATGTGTCAGTTTCTATCACTACACTTATGGGAGATGAAACTCTAGAATGGTTAACCATTGTTTTCTTATTATTGATAATCCTACTGTATGCTATATGAATCAAGTTATTCTTGCAAAAACCCATGTATGGTGGTGCTTGTGAACATTTTGCTATTAAATCATTCATCAAAATGAAATGAGGTTGTCTGTGCTGAATGGGGAAGTGGTTTTTGTACGACTTCTCCCATTAGATTGACCACTGTGACTCTCTAGCACAGTAATACACTGCTGTGTCCTCACTCTTCAGACTGTTCATCTGTAGGTACAGCTTACTGCTGGAGTCATCTCTGGAGATGGTGAATCTACCCTGGACTGACTGGGAGTAATATGTAGCAGTACTATAACTATAAGCAATCCACTCCAGTCCTTTCCCAGGAGCCTGTCTGATCCAGCCCATAGAATAGCTACTGAATGTGAAGCCAGAGGCTGTACAAGTCAGTTTGTGTGATTCTCCAGGCTTTTTAAGCACTGGCCCAGACTCAGTCAGTGTCTGACCATGAACACCTGTGGAAATAGAAATCAGAGATCATGTTGAAGTTGAAACTAAAACCTGATGTCAACTTGTTATTTGATAAATAGCATAATTAAACATACTGTATTCTCACCTGTTAGATAGACTGTCAGTAAGAGTATTCCTGTGGTAGGAAACATGGTGATCTGTGTAGTTCTCTAAAGGTAGTTGAGACAGTCCTCAGCAGAAACAGCCTTCAACAGAGACATTAATAAAGATGGAGGACTGGATAGTTTGCATGAGCTCCTCCTCACTGGGAGGACCAATCACAAGATAATTTGATAAATTCCTGCAGTTCACCTGATATGAGGTCATCTTGAGATGCTCTGTTATGGAATATAACAACATCGATCTGGGAACAACTTAAAATGAGAAATTACTTATGACAGTAGAGTATTTGTACAACCTGTTCCTGTGTCATCAAAATATGCCAGAATGAAATCATCTGAATCCCTCAATATTAATTTAGGTGAATAACAATTTTACTAAGGTTTATAATAGAGAAGTTATTCCATTATATCGGTATGTGTTTTTATCCTGTGATATGTAATGATAGATAGGATAGGTAGGGCCTGTTACAGGTTGTGGTTCCTCCATTTATGTTTTGAGGTTGGACTTTGAGCACGTATAGCACGTTAGCACATAGGGTGCGCTGACTGGTGTCATCTCGTTAGTCAGTATGTGTTACACCTGTACTGGTTGCCGTCTCGTTAGTGTGAAGGTGTTTCACCTGTGCTGGCCCAGGTGCTATTTAAGAGTGGCTGGCCCAGTGCTCCAGATATCTTGAAAGATGTGGAGGGTCAACACCTTTAGTTGGCGCTCTCTATTTGATTTCTAGAAAAACATTCCTTTGTCTGATTTTGTTTTGCTCCACCTGTTTGGTTTGCTTCCAGTCTTTAAGTTTGGTTTGGGGTTTTCTGTTGTGTCCCTCTTCTTGGGCAAATTTTGTGGGCGCTCATGGTGGGTGTCTTTTAGGTTCCAGTTGTTGTTGCTAGTCAACTTTCAGTGGACACCCCATGAGTGTCTTTCAGAACCCTTCCTAAAACCGCACCTGTTTCGTTTTGGTTGTTGGTCAGTGACTCTTTGTTAGTTCCCCCTTCTGTTTGAGTGACATTTTTGGTTTTGTTGCTGGGGAACATAACAGGGCCTACTCCATCTAGGTAGTACATGTAGTTGTCATAGGATTGGGCTTGTTTTTATCACTCTGGATGTAGACTGATCGCCCCCTCTTGATAGATGCATAGAACTCCAACTTTTTACAGGGTGTGTTGGTTTTTGTACAGGTCTGGTGCTGTTTTGTATCACTGAGTCTCGGGCACAGTAATAAACAGCTGTGTCTTCAGTCTGAAAGTTCTTCCCTTGTAGAAACACTGTATTGCTGGAGGTGTCCACTGTGAAGCTGATTTAGCTCTTTAGTAAGTCTTCGGTTTCAGTGCCCCCACTACTGTATTTGTATCCCATCCATTCCAATGCTTTTCCTTCAGGCTGTCAAATCCAGTGAATACAATAGCTTGTTATGTAAATCCTACAGGGGAGGGGAGAGTGACACTCCTGCCTTAACAACCATAGAACCTGGCTGAGTTAGAACATCAGAATGAACACCTGTTTGGAGAAAAAAACATGAAAACCATTCATTAGTATCACTGTGAACATGGAAATGACTGAGTGTATGTTGAAGCTGTTAATGTTCCTTTATATTTATACTTTTGATGGAGAGACTCACAGGAAGCAACTGCCAGCAGCAGGGAACATGATTTGTGTTGAAGCTGAACTGATAGGAGCTGTTCTTCTCTAATCTCCAGGACTCAGAGGGACGTACTAGGACTCTCAGATACAGAGAGGTTTTATATAGGAGGAGGGGGAGAACTAAAACCTGATGTCAACTTGTTTATTTGATAAACAGCATAATTAAACATATTATATCCTCACCTGTTAGATAGACTGTCAGTAAGAGTATTCCTGTGGTAGGAAACATGGTGATCTGTGTAGTTCTCTAAAGGTAGTTGAGACAGTCCACAGCAGAAACAGCCTTCAACAGAGACATTAATAAAGATGGAGGACTGGAGAGTTTTGCATGAGCTCCTCCTCACTGGGAGGACCAATCACAAGAGGCTTTGAAAACTACCCACTCTTCACCTAGTAGGACATAATGAGATGTTCTGCTATGATAAAAACAGCTGTTTGTGTTCCTATTTATGGTATATCAATTTTATCAGGTAGATTGATGGAGAATACATTTTCCATTTACAACAAAAACCCTGAGGAAGAGTTGTCAGGACAGTTTGAGAATGAATGTACTAATTATTACTCATGACAGTAGAATAATATTGGTACAAGCTTGTCATCATGTTGTCAAAGTAAGACCAAAGACCAATCACAACCTCAATCAATCACACAACATTTATTTGTTGAATAACATTTAATACATGTTTAATTTTGAGTGTATTGCATTATACCTATATCTGTTCTTCTACTACAGTAGTCCGATGTTATGACTGGTGACTGATACTATATCTAGTTCATATAGTAATCAGATCACACTAGGATTTATTTCATGTAAAGGCTAAGATTGCCCACTCCTGGTGGGTACATATAACTCCAACCATTTATGGGGTGGGTGAGTTTCTGCACAGCTCTGGTGCTGGTTTGTATCACCGTTACCCCCGAGCACAATAATACACAGCTGTGTCTTCAGCCTGCAGACTGGTGATGTCTAAGTACAGTACATTACTACTGTCTCTGGAGATGGTGAATCTGCTCTTAAAAGAGGCTCCAGTCAATAGATCCACCACCCCAGATGATCCCAATCCACTCCAGTGTTTTCCCTGGCTGCTGTTGTATCCAACCTGTACCATAGTCTGTCAGGGCATAGCCAGATACTTGGCAAGATAGTTTCACTGACTCTCCAGGAGCTTTGAGTTGAGCAGGGAAGGAGGTCAAACTAATGCTGTGTATATCTGAATAAGAGCAGGGAGGAGAGAGAGACAGGAAACTTAACCTGACGAAGGAGAATAAATTACTTTTTCCAGCTATCTACGTTATATGAAAATTAACTCTACAAAGTCATGGGCAAAAACAACCTTATTTACTAGATTTACTCTCCCATCTTGTTTTGTAAACTGTATTTGAAGAGATGAAAATGACCCTACTTACATGGCAGGAAGGCCAGGAGGAGGAGAGATGTAAGAAACATGTTTCTCTGTTGAATGGCAGACAGTGTCTGTCTGGTTACTAACAGACAGGGTGGTTGCAGTGATGAAGGTTGTGTCTGTGTGTGTCTGTGTGTGGCTGCCCCTCAGAGCTGGTCATTGATTAATACAGTTTAAAGCAGAGGGGATTATTTGCATATTGTCCATCTTTTATTGACAGAGTAAACAGGAGTCAATATTGAGACATCAACCTAGGATCCGTAAAATATGTATATGCTGCACAGCTTTCCATGCATACATACATGACTAACTCTACAATGCTATTCTACAGTGATCATGGAGGATTTAGACCTTAGTATTAATAAAGTAGCTATCTATTACGTCAGGAGATCGAAGGTCGAAACCACCACCTACCCCACAGCAGCACTACCATAGAACTCATGGTGTCATGTTCTAAGTCAAATAGTTAGTTAGCTCAATGTGTCATTCACCACAGAGATTTGGAACATTAAACCTTAAATGAGAGTAGGGTGCTTTGGTTGAAGGACGGATAAACAGTCTCTACTTAGGAAAGTGTAACTGGTTCACACCGCATGTTACAGACGTTAAGCATCAAGTGTATGAGATACATTGTATACAGTGTATGAGAGGGAGAGGGAATTGGAGAGATACATGGTGAAACCTTTAATGCCATTTTGACAATCATGGAGGAAGGACTTGATTTTGATATGCATGAAGTGCAGATAGATTTTGGTGAACCTGACATAGAGATGGATCAGTATGGTGATGTTAAAGAGGAGGGAGAAGAGGAGGAAGAGGAAGAGAAGGGTCGGCCCAGACGACCCCGACAGCCACAACAGCAGCGTGCTCACATGGGAGTCCAGATTAAAGACTACTTCTGTTGTTCTGTGTTCAACACCATGTTCTGCAACTGCCTCTTCCTAGGGCTCCTGGCCCTGGTCTTCTCTTATCAGGTAAGATGACTGACATTGATTAGATCGTGACATGACAAAACACTCAGAAATAGGAAGGTTTTCATGGTGAGCTGTGTATGTACAATGATGGCTCCAATCTACCTAGGCACTTTGTTATATGTTGAAGAGTTTTAGTCCGATCAGGAATGATACTTTTTAGGCACCCAACCGCCATTTTGTAATTCGAGAGTTACACAATGTGCTTTCTGCAATTATTGTTGGTCTAGCATGAGTAAAATGTGACCAGTTAAGCTGACATTTAAGTGACATTGAAATCAGAAAAGCACAATACCCTTTATGTCTATGTCCTTGTTTTTCACCTCTCAGGTGATGAAGAGGATGGCAAAGAGGGACCTGAAGGGGGCGAGGCAGTGCAGTGGTCATGCTTACAGGACCAACACGGCTGCTATGGTGGTGACCGTCTGTGGCCTGGCCATTTTCTTCCTCTGTCTATATTTTAATCAATGAGCGAGTTCAGGAAGACGCCCCAGGTGGAGAGGATAGGGTCAGAAAGAGAAAGTCAGTACACATTAATAATACTAGACTTAATAGCCAGGGATGTTAATGCTACAGGCCTATAATCATTTAGCACAGATGGGTTTGTTGATTTAGGGATGGGTACTATAGTAGAGTTTTTTCATAGCATACAGTAGGTACATGTTGTTGATCCAAAGAGGAGTGAAAGATAAAAGATAAAATACCAGCCAGTTCTTCTGCACAGTGCCTTAAAACATTACCACAGATGTTGTCTGGATGGGTATATTCATGGTTAACTTGGTGTCACATGGAACATTCACATTAATTTATAACCATTTAGTAAGCTTTACTGATTGCCTCATTACATTTTAGTTATTTAGCAGATGCTCTTATCCAGAGCGACTTACAGTTAGTGAGTGCATATATTTTCATACTGGTCCCCCGTGGGAATCGAACCCACAACCCTGGCGTTGCAAGCGCCATGCTCTACCAACTGAGCTACACGGGACTCATCAACGTAAGAATGTATAATCATATAGCCAATCAATAGACCATGCATTCTATACATCAATACAGAGTCTGCAGAATAATACTTGTTTACTTTCTTTATACCCATCGCTCCTCTTTCTAAGAGAGGTCTTGGTGGAACCCTGCTTGGTGGTCTCTGAGCTTGGCACCCAACAGAGTTTTTACTCTTGACCCTGTCAAAAAGCTTTCTGCAGAATCCATGCTCAGCAAATATTTCTGTATGATTTTACAGAATCGTAGCACTATTCTTTCAATTCAAGTAACACAACAAAAAATGAAATTCTTACATTAGCTACACATAGTATTACTATATGAAATGTTGTCAAATGTCAGTTTGATATTAAATAAAATGCTTTTTCACAATTCAATGTTCCATACTGTTAAGTCACTGTTAAGTGTTAAGTCAAAGTTGGCCAATCCTCTTCTTTTGGACAGTGAAGGTCCTTATGGGCAGCTGATTTGATTAATTGAGTTAGATTAGGGCGAGAGCAAAATCCTTGTCATTATAAAAGATGATTCCTACACACAAATACTTCTACATGTTTATTGTCTTCTCTGTTCTTTCCCAAAAGAAGACAGGTCACAACGTAAGGAACAACTCAGAGGCCTTATTCATGAAGCATAGACAGTGTTTCTGAGGTGGGGAGCTCTCATATTAAAGTATACGGTTGTCTCTATCTGTGTACAGAACTAAAATATGTAAAGCGTTGGTCCCATGCTTCATGAGCTGAAATAAAAGATCCCAAAAATGTTCCATTCACACAAACAGCTTATTTCTCTCAAATGTTGTGCAGAAATGTGTTTACATCCCTGTTAGTGAGCATTTCTCATTTTCCAAGATAATCCATCCACCTGACAGTTGTGGAATATCAAGAAGCTAATTAAAGAGCATGATCATTACACAGGTCCTGGGGACAATAAAAGGCCACTCTAAAATGTGCAGTTTTGTCAAACAACACAATGCCACAGATGTCTCAAGTTTTGAGGGAGTGTGCAATTGGCATGCTGACTGCAGGAAGGTCCACCAGAGCTGTTGCCAGAAAATGTAATGTCAATTTCTCTACCATAAGCCACCTCCAAGGTCGTTTTAGAGAATTCAGCAGTACGTCCAACCGGCCTCACAACCACAGACAACATGTAATCACGCCAGCCCAGGACCTCCACATCCGGCTTCTTCACCTTTGGAATCATCTGAGACCAGCCACCTGGACAGCTGATGAAACTGAGGAGTATTTCTGTCTGTAATAAAGCTATTTTGTGGGAAAAGCCTCATTCTGTTTGGCTGGGCCTGGCTCCCCAGTGGATGGGCCTATGTCCTCCCAGGCCCACCCATGGCTGCATCCCTGCCCAGTCATGTGAAATCCATAGGGCCTAATTAATTTATTTCAATTGACTAATTTCTTTATATGAACTGTGGCTCAGTAAAATCTTTGAAATTGTCGCATGTTGTGTTTATATTTTTGTTCAGTATATGTCTGAGGGGTTTTTGTACATCTCCACCACTCACATCACTGTACCAGCATGCCCAGTAATACACAGCAGAGTCTTCTGTCTTCAGACCAGACAGTTTCGGATGTGCCATGCTCACTGAGCTGTCTTTGGTCAGTTCAATCTGTCCCTCCAGGGTTTTGGCATAGCCCACTGATCCAGTATTGGTGTTGATCCAGTCCATCCATTCTAGTTGTTTCCCTGTAGGTTAGCAAATCCAGTTCATACCATAGCTTGTAAATGTATACCCAGTTCCTCTACAGGAGAGGTTTAGAGTTTCTCCAGGCTTGTTCTGGAGTGGCCTGGAGGGAATGGACTCCATACTCTGACCATGTAGACCTGATGGAGAGAAAGAGAGAGAGGAAACAGTGGGAGAGGAGAAAGGAGAGAGGGTGGAATATGGAGGAAAGGCATGAAGGAATTGTAAATCCTCTTTGCTCAGCATAGGAACAGTTGATGAGAAGTTAAAGCAAGCAGAACTCACAGGGCAGACAGAGGGAGAGCAGCAGAAGGTAAAGTTTTCCCGTCATACTGAGGGTGGAGATATGAACTTAGCTGCTCCACACAAGACAACAAGACAACAAGTCAGCAGCAGAACATAAGTATATATGAACTCTGAGGGATCTGGATTTACATCATTATGTTATGGGGGAGGAGCTGATGACTTTAAGGTCAGGGGTCAATCTATAACTCATCATTAAGGTCAGGTGTTGTCCTTGATCACATGACCTGACCAGGAAGAGAGTTTTTCCTGGTCAGTTCACTTAGTCAGAAGAACCTCCAGGCCTACTCACCACACACATAACTGACTCAAGGACTGGAGGAACTGTGGGGAACATGAGGATTTTCTTAATATTGATAACCTTCATGATTTAATTAAATTGTGAGTTATTTTAGATGGCAGATATAGACATCCATTTGTCAAGGAAAGACTCCTTGTTCATCATGAACCAACACATCTCAATTCTACACCTCACATAGCCTGTTCTTTTTTATTGTTTCTGCATACGTGTATATACATTGAGTGTACAACATATTATGTACACCTGTTCTTTCCATGACATAAGACTGACCAGGTGAATCCAGTTGAACGCTATGATCACTTATTGATGTCACCTGTTAAATCCACTTCAATCAGTGTAGATGAAGGGGAGGAGACAGGTTAACGAAGGAGTTTTGTGCCTTGAGCCATGGGTTGTGTATGTGTGCCATTCAGAGGGTGAATGGGCAAGACAAAAGATTTGTGCCTTTGAACGGGGTACGGTAGTAGGTACTCGGAGCACCAGTTTGTGTCAAAAACGGAAACGCTGCAGAGTTTTTCACACACAACAGTTTCCCATGTTGTAGCCACCTTGTAGAGTCCATGCCCCAATGAATTGAGGCTGTTCTAAGGGCAAAAGGAGGGGTGCAACTCAATATTAGGAAGGTGTTCTTAATGTTTTGTACACTCAGTGTAGATTATGTAATCAAGCAATAAGGCACAAGAGGCCGTGCTATGTGCTGAATACTGTCAAAGGTAAATGCCATTGTTCAGTCCGACGCAATAGCCCATGCGTTGGTAACGCCTGTCAAATCTTACGCCTGGATAGGTCTCGGAGCTCTACAGACAATTCCTTCGACCTCATGGCTTGGTTTTTGCTCTGACATGCACTGTCAACTGTGGGACCGTATATAGACAGGTATGTGCCTTTCCAAAACATGTCCAATCAATTGAATTTACCACAGGTGGACTCCAATCAAGTTGTAGAAACATCTCAAGGATGATCAATGGAAGAGGATGCACCTGAGCTTAATTTCGAGTCTCATAGCAAAGGGTCTGAATACTTACGTAAATGGCATTTCTGTTTTTGATAAATCTGCTAACAATTCTAAAAACCTATTTTTGCTTTGTCATTATGGGATATTGTGTGTAGATTGATGAGAAATTGTATGTATTTAATCAATTTTACAATAAGGCTGTAACGTAAAAAAATGTGGAAAAAGTCAATGGGTCTGAATAATTTCCGAATGCACTGTGATTACACAGACTTGGGAGACTGAATTTGCATGACAACCATGGTTGGGTGGTAGCATGTCCCATGCATATAAAAGAGGTTTCAAGCCAATCATTAAATTAAAGACAAAGCCAGACATCAGTGATCACTGTTAATCAGAAAACATTTTCTGTATTGTTTAAACAGTAAAGTCATTGTTTTGTTGTGTATTTTACAACAAGGAACATAAAGAACAGTCATTCAATAATTTATATTAAATCATATTGCATTTTGATACTTATCACAACAATATCACAAACATTCAAACAAGTGGCGTCTGAAAGAAATTGCGATATCTTGTCACATGTTGTCAGCATAGGCTCGAATCCGGCCTACTGCCCTTTGACATAACCTCTATATTTTATCACTGTCATCCTCTCTCTCTCTATCTGTTCAATAGTCAGAAAATACCTTTTAAAGGTTTATATTTTTTATTAAAGACATAAAACAAGATACCAAAAAAATATATACTATTCACAAAATGTGTTTCCATTGTTTCAACGTCACATGGTCAGCAACTGTCACCAAACTACTTGCCTTAGATGGCTACCGACTGGGCACACTACGTCGTTTCAACGTGGATAATTGGGTAATATTTGGTTGAGACGTTGATCAATGAGATTACAACCTATATGGACCTCCTCAAAAAGACAGCCAAAAGTTAGTTGGATTTCCAATGTGTAATCACTATTCTTTCAACCATCTAAAAGCACAACCGAATTTCAATGGAAAAGCAATGTCATATTTTTGGTTTGGTTGTCACCCAAATGAGTATCACTGCTCTTTCAACCATTCAAAATCACAGCAAAGTTCAAATGGGAATACAATGTCAGACATTATGTTTATTTATACAACAGATGAATATGATATCTCTGTGCTTCATCTAATAGCAGAATCAAATGTCCTGGATGGCAGTTGAGATTACATTAAAAGTGCATGGTGCAAGTGAACAATGCTGTTGAAGATTTTGCACACACTGCCCTACCCTATGCTTTGACTTCTTTCTCCCCTCTCTCTCCAGATAGAATCTTGCGACTAGTGACTGCAGGCCGCCCAACAACCTGCCCGCTTGACCCCATCCCCTCCTCTCTTCTCCAGACCATCTCCGGTGACCTTCTCCCCTACCTCACCTCGCTGATCAACTCATCCTTGACCGCTGGCCATGTCCCTTCCGTCTTCAAGAGAGCGAGAGTTGCACCCCTTCTCAAAAAACCAACACTCGATCCCACTGATGTCAACAACTACAGACCAGTATCCCTTCTTTCTTTTCTTTCCAAAACTATTGAGCGTGCCGTCTTTAGCCAACTCTCTTGCTATCTCTCTCAGAATGACCTTCTTGATCCAAACCAGTCAGGTTTCAGGACTGGTCATTCAACTGAGACTGCTCTTCTCTGTGTCACGGAGGCTCTCCGCACTGCTAAAGCTAACTCTCTCTCCTCTGCTCTTGTCCTTCTAGACCTGTCTGCTGCCTTTGATACAGTGAACCATCAGATCCTCCTCTCCACCCTCTCCGAGCTGGGCATCTCCGGCGCGGCTCACTCCTGGATTGCGTCCTACCTGACCGGTCGCTCCTACCAAGTGGCGTGGCGAGAAGCTGTCTCCGCACCACGTGCTCTCACCACTGGTGTCCCCCAGGGCTCAGTTCTAGGCCCTCTCCTTTTCTCCCTATACACCAAGTCACTTGGCTCTGTCATATCCTCACATGGCCTCTCCTATCATTGCTACGCTGACGATACACAACTAATCTTCTCCTTTCCCCCTTCTGATAACCAGGTGGCGAATCGCATCTCTGCATGTCTGGCCGACATATCAGTATGGATGACGGATCACCACCTCAAGCTGAACCCTGGCAAGACGGAGCTGCTCTTCCTCCCGGGGAAGGACTGCCCGTTCCATGATCTTGCCATCACGGTTGACAACTCCGTTGTGTCCTCCTCCCAGAGTGCGAAGAGCCTTGGCGTGACCCTGGACAACACCTTGTCGTTCTCCGCCAACATCAAGGCGGTGACCCGATCCTGCAGGTTCATGCTCTACAACATTCGGAGAGTACGACCCTGCCTTACACAGGAAGCGGCACAGGTCCTAATCCAGGCACTTGTCATCTCCCGTCTGGATTACTGCAACTCGCTGTTGGCTGGGCTCCCTGCCTGTGCCATTAAACCCCTACAACTCATCCAGAATGCCGCAGCCCGTCTGGTGTTCAACCTTCCCAAGTTCTCTCACATCACCCCCTCCTCCGCACACTCCACTGGCTTCCAGTTGAAGCTCGCATCCGTTACAAGACCATGGTGCTTGCCTATGGAGCAGTGAGGGGAACGGCACCTCCGTACCTTCAGGCTCTGATCAGTCCCTACACCCAGGCGAGGGCATTGCGTTCATCCACCTCTGGCCTGCTGGCTCCCTTTTCCTCTGCGGAAGCATAGTTCCCGCTCAGCCCAGTCAAAGCTGTTCGCTGCTCTGGCACCCCAATGGTGGAACAAGCTCCCTCACGACGCCAGGACAGCGGAGTCACTCACCACCTTCCGGAGACATTTGAAACCCCACCTCTTTAAGGAACACCTGGGATAGGATAAAGTAATCCTTCTACCCCCCCCCCCCCCCCCCCCAAAAAAAAAAAAAAAAGTATAATTGTAAAGTGGTTATCCCACTGGCTATAGGGTGAATGCACCAATTTGTAGTCGCTCTGGATAAGAGCGTCTGCTAAATGACGTAAATGTGCCCTTGAGCAAGGCACTTAACCCTAATTGCTCCTGTAAGTCGCTCTGGATAAGAGCGTCTGCTAAATGACTAAAATGTAATGTAAAAATGTTATTACAGCAATTGTTAAGATCTCCACAGACCTGCGATGACCTATGCATGCTATCTTGAACATGCATGCTTTATATGATTACATAAGAAGAAATGTATAGTTACAGTAACCTCAAAATGTGGCCAGATTTAATTATGTATTTTATCAACAATAGAAAACATACACATACAAACAACGACATCATACAAACATCAACTACATCACACCTGCCCAGACCCACTAGCCCTCACCCCTATCTCCAGCTCCCGGATCACTTTCTGCCACAGGGCCTCCAACTTCACGACTCTGTATCTCTCCGTTGCCCAGGCACCTTCCATTTTTAGATAGTAATACATTTGACCTTTCCATTGCGTGAACGACGGACGATTGGTTGATTTCCAGTTTTTAAGTATAAGTATTATTTTTTTTCAACCCACCAGACAGACTCATTAAAAGTACATTTACAGTGTAATACTTCTGACAGCCATCTTTCCAACTCTGACCATAACTTTTGGACTTTATAAAATTCCCAGAAGTCATGAATTATTGAGTAATTGTTAGTTTTACACTTCATATATGACTCTGCCTTTGTGCTGTAGAATTTGTGAATGTTGTCTCTTGTATATTAAATTATATACATTAGTTTATATTGGATTAAGCATACATTTGCGATAACTGTAATCTTGTTAGTTATATTTCAACATACCCTCCATCTTGTGCCAATATCAGTTATTTTAAAATCTTGGTTCCAATCATTTATATTTCTTTGTAAGAGATTGTCAATTGGATAGGCTCTCTGCAAAGTTTTGTATAGCTTACCAATCATATGAAAGTATGTTCACATTTCATTTGCTCTGTTAAACCTAACCTATGGAATGACTGATAGCAATAGTGCATCTATTTAGTTTTTAAATGTGTTACTGCATTTTTACAATGACATATTGGTTATGTTTTGGGGTTAATCAAGATACTGTATCAGGGAAATTGATTTATCAGAGTACAGGTGCATCCTGGGGTAGAAGTCATGCTTGGGTAGCTTTGAACTACTGCGCCCAACACTCATTTTGATAGACACGCCTCATGAAAACCATTCTTAAACTATATTCCCTATATATAATTATAATCAATACATACTAAAGTATTTAGGGGGAGGTGCCCTGGACAGCTATGAGAAACCACAGAGCAATTTGTTATTTTAGTTAAGGACTCATTGTTTAATGCAAATCTTGAAAAGTGTGTTATATTTATTACAAACACAAACCATGAATATGGTGTGTCAATAAAATTGTGTGTGATGAGTAGCAGTGAATGGCTGAAAATATGTAATAATATAATTAATACAACTGTTAACATGGTCTATCAAATAAATGAAACCGTGATTAAATTGTCTGATTATTTTGATCAACCTCACCATTTAATCAAACCAAATGCTAATCGTGTTCATGTGGTTGAAACATTGCATGGTTACCAGCCACCAGCTGGCTTATGCAAAAAAGCTTTTTAGGCAGTTTCTCCTCAGCTGAAACAGGGTAGTGAGAATTAGATCATGAAAGTGTGTAGGGACCATCCCTGCAGTCCCTGGGTTACTTATCTGCTTTAACTATCTATCTGAATCATCACAGAGGCTAAACTGGGACCCTGAAACACCCAGGTGACAGATTGGAGTTCACCAAGCGTGGTGCCACACAGCTGTGAGGGGCACAGAGAGGACGAGAGAGAGGTGGGGTGTGTGAGAGAAACAGACACAACTGATAAAAGGAGAGCAGGGCCTGTGTGGAAAGGAATGGATTATCAAACATAAACCCTTAGCTATGGAATGGATGCATTAATAGTTACTTCTCATACAGTTTGACCAAAATGATGGAACATATGGTGTTTCTGTGATTGAAAGCATAATAATTATGACAAAAGTAACTATAAATATGTTAATTCCATACTCTAAGTATGTATGATTAAATAGTCAGTTTATATTGATATATTCTGTCAATTTGGTGAGAATCTGTGACTATCCCATTTGGCTGCTTGTACATTTTACCCCTTAAAAATGACATTAAAGTCACTATGTTGTTAGAGGAGTCTAAAGTGAGGCTGAAATTGTTTTTCAGCAAATTCTTGTAGGATGTGACTCTAGTATATATGCTTCCAATCCGCTCCAGTGCTTTCCCTGCAGGCTGTCGAATCCAAGATGTGTAATAGAGTCCTACAAATTATGAGACCTTACAGGAGATGATCAGTGGGTGACCTGGCTGGACAGTCATAGAGGCTTGCTGAGTGAGTTCTTCACAGTAAACACCTGTGGACAAAGCATTTAAAATATAACTCACTACAAATAAAATCATATTAAAGTTTTAACAAAACCAAAGCCATCGCTTATTGTGCTATCTTTCCCCCAAATCCAGAGAGACTCACAGGAGGGAGCTGCAGCAACAATGCAGTGAACATGGTTTGTGTTGAAGCTGTACTGGTGGGAGCTGCTCTTCTCTACTCTCCAGGACTCAGAGGGACGTACTAGGACAGACATATAGAGCTTGTTTACATAAGGGAGAGGGACAGTGAGAGAGAGAGAGAGAGGTAAGATTACATTTGCGTAATGAAGTGGGGTTGCCTCTCGCCTGTCCGACGTAGACCCGTTTGGCGCCGCTGCTCCTCTCTACGGCGCGCCTCCACCGTCTCTTCCCACGGACGCCGATCCATCCCGGCCTGTATCTCCTTCCAAGTCCAGGACCCTTTCCCGTCCAATATCTCCTCCCATGTCCAGGCTGCCTGCTCCTGGACACGCTGCTTGGTCCTGGTATGGTGGGATCTTCTGCCACTATCGTTAGAGTGAGTAGACCAAGGCGCAGCGTGAGATTTGTACATCTTATTTAATTAAGTGCACACACAATAAACAAAACAACAAACGATACGTGAAGTCCACGGTACAAACACAAAACCAACTGGAACAAGATCCCACAAACACTGAGGGAAAACAGACTGTTTAAATATGGTTCCCAATCAGAGACAACCAGCAACAGCTGACACTCGTTGCCTCTGATTGGGAACCACTCTGGGCAACATAGAAACAGAACAACTAGAATATTAACATAGAACACAAACACATAGAATATACACACCCTGGCTCAACATATAGAGTCCCCAGAGCCAGGGTGTGACATGAAGACAGTCAGGTGTAAAAGGACTGAGAATATCAGTGCAAAATGGGGGGAAATTATGTGATAATGTGTCAGTTTTTGACACTACACTTATAGGAGATATGGGAGATATGTAGCAACTCCTTAGAATGGTTAAACATTCTTTGTGGGACTCAAAGGACATGGGTGATTATTATTGGGAATCCTGGCCGTGTCCCCACTCTCTGAGGGTGTTTCAAGGGGAGTGGGATATGACAAAAACACATTTCCAATACAGTAGGACAAATATAAGCACCACCTAATCATTACTATTATAAATCATATACTGTATGTATGTATGTATGTATGCGTTTTAAGTATGGCTGAGCTTGTGCTGTTAAACCATTCATCGGAAATAAAAAAATAGGTTGTCTGTGCTGAATGGGGTAGTGGTTTTTGTGCAGCTCTCCCACCACTCTCTCTCACTGTGTGTACCGGGCACAGTAATACACTGCTGTGTTATCACTCTTCAGACTGTTCATCTGTAGGTACAGCTTACTGCTGGAGTCGTTTCTGGAGATGGTGAATCTACCCTGGACTGACTCGGAGTCGTAAGCAGTAGTACTATGACTATAAGCAATCCACTCCAGTCCTTTCCCAGGAGCCTGTCTGATTCCATTGCTACTGAATGTGTAGCCAGAAGATGTCAGTTTGTGAGATTCTCCAGGTTTTTGAACCACTGATCCAGACTCAGTCAGTGTCTGACCCTGAGCTCATGCTGAAATACAAAGAATGTTGAAGAGGGTGTTGAAGCTGAAGCTAAAAGCTAATGTGTCCATTTATTTCCTTGATAAGCTTATAATTAGGCTGCAAATCATCACCTGTTAGATAGACTGTCAGTAAGAGTATTCCTGTGGTAGGAAACATGGTGATCTGTGTAGTTCTCTAAAGGTAGTTGAAACAGTCCTCAGCAGAAACAGCCTTCAACAGAGACATTAATAAAGATGGAGGACTGGAGAGTTTTGCATGAGCTCCTCCTCACTGGGAGGACCAATCACAAGAGGCTTTGATCAATGCTCACAGTTCACCTGCTAGGCCATATTTTGATTGCCTGATGACTCAGACTGAATTTAATTACGCTGCTCTATGGATCACTACATTAGTTCCGTTGGAATATGCCATCCTAAAAGTTGTTTGTGTGACGTCAAAATGAGGGGTGTTGTACAAAACTAATTGATCAGCTATTGGATCATTTCAAACAAATCGAACCAATCAGAGTATCAAAGTTGATAACGTCATCATGTAGGCCGGCTCTGGCCCAACCCATCAGTTTCTGGAACCAATCAGAACGGTTTGAACGTGTTTACATTCGAGAAGGCATCGGGGAGGAGAGCAAATCCAGATTCTTCTTGGAGAATAAACATTAGTAGGTGTGGTGTTTGGCCAGAGCGATGTGGATAGGTAGCCAGGAAAATATTGAGATGCTCTGTTATGAAAAATATTTAGTTTGTATGTCTTAATCTTTATTTTACTGGGACACGCTCTCATTTACAACACAGACATGTGGAAGATATGCAATGAAAAACTATTGATTAGTTAGTTATTGGAGTAGATACATTTTCAGTACCATCTGTTACTGAAGTGTACCAGAGGGAAACCATGTCCTCTGAATCAACCCTTGAAAAATGTGTGGGATGCTTTTCAATACAGGGCAAATCCTTCATTTAGCCTGCCCTCTAGAGCGTGAAATTGAAACTGCAGGTCACATCTCCGGTCTTGAGCTTCCATGTTCCATACAGTGTGTCCCCAGAGAATTGGTTTTAGTACAGGTCCGCTGCTGGTTTGTGTCACTGTGGGAGACGAGCACAATAATACACAGCTATGTCTTCAGTCTGGAAGTTCTTCCCTTGTAGAATTAGGGCGTATTTGGTCTAACATATAGTACATAGAGAGACTATTTATATAATGGAGAGCTAGAGAGGGGAGGAGCTGAGCATAGTGCAATTTGCATCAGGAAATGAGGAAGGTATGGAAGGGAATCCCAGATTGTAATACTCCATTATACAGAAAAACCTTTTGCCAATATGTTTTCATCACAACACATGAGTGTAAGTACTAGCAGGCTAGTCTCCATTGCTTCCCCAACATGGAAATAGATGATAATAATAGATGATGCTGTATGTCACCAGTGATAAGTATGGGTTCCTTACAGTGCCTGCTTGTGAACAGTTAAAAACAACGTGTTGCTGGAAGTGTATCTGGTGATGCTGAACTTGTTTTTCAGTGAATTTTTGTCCAGGCTGTTCATCTGTAGGTACAGCTTACTGCTGGAGTCATCTCTGGAGATGGTGAATCTACCCTGGACTGACTCGGAGTAGTATGTAGTAGTACTATAACTATAAGCAATCCACTCCAGTCCTTTCCCTTTAGTTTGTCTGATCCAGCTCATTCCATAGCTACTGAATGTGAACCCAGAGACTGTACAGGTCAGTTTGTGGGATTCTCCATGCTTTTTAACCACTAGTCCAGACTCAGTCAGTGTCTGACCATGAACACCTGTTGAAAGAAATCACAGATTATGTCAAAACAGAATCTAAAACCTATTGTGTCAATTTATTCACCAGAACGTTTAGAAAAATTCATAGTCCATAAACTTTTAAAAATCCCGAAAAACTCACTGGAGGCAGCTGCCAGCAGCAGCAGAGATGCAGGGAACATGTTTTACGTTGAAGCTGAACTGGCGGGAACTGGTCTTCTCTACTCTCTAGGACTCTGAGGGCCTCTAAGGATAGACAGACACTGTTTAAGAAGGGAAAGAACCAGAGGGTGGGTTTGCGTTGACGTAGAGATGGAGGAAGAGAGGGGTATATAGGGAGACCTGACAGGGAGGCACTGAAACAGCAGTATGAGACATGTATTCAGAAAATAATCATTTATTAACTATATACCTTTCTTGTGGATAAGTGTATTTCGTAAACTTTGATGACAGGAGTTATGTGTAAGTTGACAATCACCTTTATTAAACTGTTTTCCACTGTGACAGTTTCTGAGGTTATAAAATAATGAAGTGGAGGTTTGTGTCATGTTTTATTGTTTTTTATAAACTGGGTGGTTTGATGCCTGAATGCTGATTGGCTGAAAGCCGTGGTATATGAGACCTTATACCACGGCTATGACAAAACATACATTTTTACTGTCCTAATTACGTTGGTAACCAGTTTGTACTCCGCATTGCGTCGTGCATACAGCCCTTAGCCATGGTATATTGGCCATATACCACACCCCCTCGTGCTTTATTGCTTAAACATTGCATGCTTGTCATATGTTATCTAATGAACTTGTTCTTCAGGGAGACTTTGTGGTGTGTGCCTCCAGTATATTTCATTCAAATCCACTCCAGTGTTTCCCCTGCAGACTGTTGAATCCAAGCTGTCCAAGTGCCAGTAACTAAGTATGATGGCTTACAAGAGATGGTCATTGGTTGAGCTGGCTGGACAGTCATAGAGGCTGGCTGAGTGAGATCAAGGCTGATCACACCTGTGAAAAACAGTAATGAACAATATTAATAACATCTCACAATAACAAAAAAGTTTGTTGTGTTTTCCCCCAAACCCAGACTCACAGGAGACAGCTGCCAGCAGCAGCAGAGATGCAGGGAACATGGTTTGTGTTGAAGCTGAACTGATGGGAGCTGCTCTTCTCTACTCTCCAGGACTCAGAGGGATGTGCTAGGACTCTCAGATACAGAGAGGTTTTATATAGGAGGTAGAGGGAGAGAAAGGAAGATGGGGGAATAGGGGAAATTTGCATAGGTATTTGACGGATATATAACATGAATGGGAATATCAGTGTGAAAATGTTTTATTTAATAACTGTGCAAGCTTGAAATACTCCAGTGTATTGTCAATGTAAAGAGCCGGACTGATACCGGTGACTAATTTTGCAAGACTGTGTTACAATAAGCCATACAGTACATATTTGCCAATATTGTTGCATTATAACACAGGATTAGTTGTACTGGATCTATAATGTAGGTACACAGATCTAGAGACAAATTTAAGTAATCAAGGTGCATTCAATACCGCCTTGCACACTCTTGCCTGCATCTAGATGATCTGCGGTGCAATGACTAGACCCAATGGAACATTTTGCAACTAAAGCAAGAGTTTCTATTGGACAATTTCATCTAGGTCCCTCCCCGTTTCATTCCATTTGCTTCCGTTTAGAAACCGTTCTGCAAAAAAAATCAGCAGAATGAATACACCCCTGATCACCCGCACACACAGTTCACTTTCATAGCAGCCACATACAGCATCATCACTTTGCTCTACGCAAGTTTATTTGGGTCTCATGTCCTTATTATGGTCCACTGATATATGTTTGTGTGTGTGTGCGTGCGTGTGTACATGTACGTGTGTGTGTGTGTGTGTGTGTGTGTGTGTGTGTGTGTGTGTGTGTGTGTGTGTGTGTGTGTGTGTGTGTGTACCTGTGCTTGACTGAGTACATCATTACTCTACCAGATGGTTTTACTATGGCTATTCTCATTAGTTAACCATAGTGAGTCTCTAACACAGTAATACACTGCTGTCCTTCGATGCAGTGAATCAGCCCTGTACTCCCGGGGCATTGCTCTTGCTACTGTCAATAGTACAGTCATTCAGAGTGAATCCACTGCAGACACATGAGAGTTTAAGGGATCCTGCGGGGGTCCCCTGGACTGTCTGTTCAGCCTGTGTGAGTACGACCTGACAGTGGACACCTGAGTAGGGAGAAGAATGACAGGTCAGATTAATCACATCAGTATCACAGCAACACAAGTTATACTGACCAGACTACAGTCAGGAACTCACAGGAGGCAGCTGTCAGTAGCAGCAGCAGAGATGCAGGGAACATGGTTTGTGTTGATGCTGAACTGGTGGGAGCTGTTCTTCTCTACTCTCAGGACTCAGAGGGACGTACTAGAACTCAGATACAGAGAGGTTTTATATAGGAGGAGGTAGAGGGAGAGAAAGGAAGAGGGGCTAGGTGACATTTGCATAGGTAGCTGACTCATATATGAAATTAATGGGAGTATCAGTGGTAAAAAAATATATTTAATAACTGTACAAGCTATAAATATTATAATTGTTACGTTCCTTAGCAGGAAACCAAAAATAATTGCTCAAACAGAAGGGGGAACTAACAAAGAGTCACTGACAACAACCAAAATGAAAGAGGTGGGTTTTAGGAGGGGTTCTGAAAGACACTCATGGGGGTCTCCACTGAAAGTTGACTAGCAAGAACAACTGGGACCTAAAAGACACTTAATTTGCCCAAGAAGAGGCAAACAAAAGAAAAACCCAAACCAAAGTTAAAGACAGGAAGCAAAACATAAAGTGGAGCTAAACGAAAACCCTAAAGGAAGCGCCACCTAAAGGTGTTAACTCTCCACATCTCTCAAGACGACTGGCGCACTGGGCCAGCCACTCTTAAATATCACCTGGGCCAGCACAGGTGAAACACCTTCAGACTAACCAGATGGACAAGCCAGCACATGTGTAACACATACTGACTAACAAGGTGACACCAATCAGTGCGCCTCATGTGCTAACGTCCAACCTCAAAATATAAATGGAAAAACCAAAGCTTCTAACATAATGTATTGTCCATGTAAAAAGCCAGACTTATACTGGAGGATAATGTTAAGCGGGACTGTGATACAATTAACTTTACACTCTGCTAACATTTTTGTATCATAACCCAGGAGTGTCAATGATCCCCAGTTTTTTTATATTAAGTTACATATATTTTTATTTATAACTGTCACACCCTGATCTGTTTCACCAGGTGTCTCCTATTTTTCCCCATTATCCCCTGTGTATTTATACCTGTGTTTTCTGTTTGTCTGTTGCCAGTTTGTCAGGTCTTACAAGCTTGTTTTTCGGTTTCTCTAGTGCTTGTTTTCTAGTCTTCCCGGTTCCGACCTTTCTGCCTGCCCTGACCCTGACCCTGACCCTGAGCCTGCCTGCCGTTCTGTCCCTTTTTGACTGCCTTGGACTACAAACCTCTGCCTGCCCTCAAATTGCCCTTTTGCCTGCTCCTTGGTTATAATAAATATTCTGAGAACCGAACCATCCGCCTCCTGTGTCTGCATCTGGGTCATATCCTGAGTCGTGATAGGACGAACTAGCCATGACAACCCAGCAGACTCAGACCAGCTCCACAACACTGTCTCCCTGCAAGGAGCCACCACTGGATGACACAAGGAGCTACTTCAGAACTTTATGGAGGGACTCCATACCTTGGAGGAACGCCATGACCATATGTTCAACTCATTACTGGAGCAAGCCACAACGGAAACGTCCCGGACGCTCAGTAATCTCGCTACTAGCGATGCTTCTCCCCAGCCTACCCCGGCTTCCCGAGAACCCCTGCTTACTTCCTCTGGAGCGCTACGCTGGAGATCCTGGAACCTGCAGGGTGTTTCTCTCCCAGTGCTCCCTCATCTTTGAGCTACAGCCCTTATCGTTTCCTTCGGCTCGGTCAAAGATAGCGTATCTTATAACGCTGATGTCTGGAAGGGCGCTCGCTTGGGCTGCAGCGGCGTGAGATCAACAATCCGCCGTTTGCCTTAGTCTGGAAGATTTCGTGGCGGAGGTAAGGAAGGTGTTCGATTCCCCGGTATCTGGGAGAGAGTTCACGGAAGAGTTTTGATGTCTGCCACACCCCCTTTGAAGCAGTTGTTTTCTAGAAGGAGAAATGCATGCAAACATTTAAAAACGATATGCTACTTCTCCCTTTATCTATAAAATATCATGCACAACTAGCTAAATTAATTTTATCACTTTACACATTTATTTTGGGATACCACCCCTGTAAAAGTAATTTGCCTGAAGCGCGAGTGGAGAGAGTCATTTCATACAAGCACATTTTCGTCCACGTTCCTTCTCCTCACCACCTCTCCTCGATTACCTATATAAAAACAAGAATGACCCACTTTGTGTATGTTGTCAAATGTTGCTTTGTTATTAAATTAAAATGCATTTTTACAATTCAGAGGTTGTTGTTTAAGCGTTGTGAACAAGTTCAATATGTAATATGCTGGGTGTGCAGGCTTTTGCACTAGCCTTACACAAACAGATCTGCATCACAGTCAAGGCCCTTATGCAGTGTCACCTCTAGCCTTTTGGGGACCCTAAGCCAGATATGGTGGTCCCCCCCACCCTGCAATTCTACACATTTTGCCATGGGTTGAAGAGAAAGTGTTACAGTTTTAAAGCACATTTTCCTTAAACCTTCACATTTTGCCATGACTTATGACATGTTTATATGATATCTGTATGATAGTGACTAACAAAATGAATGGGGGCCCCTTGGGGATCAGGGACCCTGAGCGCATGCCCTGCTACACGGTCAGTGATTTGGTTATGATAGCTGGTTAGATTACCTTACCTAGCAATAAAAAACTGCTATCTGACATGGGCTTATTGAGTGACTGACATAACAAGTAACATGCCCTAACACATTTACTAAAAACTGGTCTGTGGCCCCTAGCGGCCGAATAGTCTGCGTATAGGAAAAGGCATCTCTGTCCTTATAGTCAGCTGATTTTATTTAGGTGTATTTGATCAGGTGTGTTAATAAAATCCTGGTCATTGTAAAAGATGACTCCTACACATGACCTGTGCATGTTTATTGTCGTCTTTTTCTAACCTTTCTCAAAATAATATCAAGAAACACTCAAGGCCCTATTCATGAAGCATAAACAGTGTTTCTGAGGTAAGGACATCTCCTATTAAAGCATACAGTTGTTTACCCCAGATGTTTGCAGAGGAGGGTTAGTGAAGTGTGTCAGGGGAGTACAACAGTGTGTACATGCTCCACACCCTGTCTCTATCTATGTGTTATGATGATTTGTGATACAAGATTCATTAATGTATGTAGAACGCATAAGCTGTATGTGGGACAGAGGACAAGGACAAGCCATGTGATATTGGTGTCACGGTTTGGAAACAGAAGGTCAGTGTGCCAAGATAGATTGGGGGCCACTGTTGCTAATCTTAGGAGGGGTGTGTGATGGAATGGCCTGGCTAGGGTGCCACACGATACCAAGTAGGTGGATGATATGGTGGTGGATGAGTGACACTCAATGATGGTTAGCAACTGTGTGGGACAGAAGTAGATTGGACGGGCATTATATAAACTGAGAGATTTTGTATGGAAGTAATTCAGATGACAGCAGGCTATGTCCGTACCCCCTGTCATTGAATCCAATATTGTAACCATTAAATAATAACTGAATCAAATCTCCATCTGTGTAACATACTCTCTTGCATCCTGAACTTCTCACTACCAGAAACTCATCATAACACTAAGTCTGAGGGGTTTTGATACAGCTCCACCACACATTAAAATCACTGTACCCAGCATGCCCAGTAATACACAGCAGAGTCCTCTGCCTTCAGACCAGACAGTTTCACATGTGTCATGCTCACTGAGCTGTCTTTGGTCAGTTCAATCTGTCCCTCCAGGGTTTTGGCATAGCCTGCTCCTCCAGTATTGGTGTTGATCCAGCCCATCCATTCCAGTGGCTTCCCTGTAGGTTGGTGAATCCAGTTCGTACCATATGTTGTAAAAGTATGCCCAGTTCCTCTGCAAGAGTGGTTGAGAGTTTCTCCAGGCTTGTTCTGGAGTGGACTGGAGGGAATGGACACCATAGTCTGACTATTTAAACCTGAAGGAGAGAAAGAGAGAGAGGAAACAGAGGGAGATGAGAAAGGCGAGAGGGTGGAATATTGAGGAAAAACATGAAGGTGCAATGGAGCTAGAGATTACAATGGGAAACTGTTATTGTAAGGACAGTTGATAAGGAGTAAAAGCAAGCAAAACTCACAGGGCAGACAGAGAGAGAGCAGCAGAAGGTAGAGTTTTCCTGTCATACTGAGGGTGGATAAATGAACTCAGCTGCTCCACACAAGACAACAAGACATCAAGTCAGCAGCAGAACATAAGTATATATGAACTCTGAGGGATCTGGATTTACAGTGGGGAAAAAAAGTATTTAGTCAGCCACCAATTGTGCAAGTTCTCCCACTTAAAAAGATGAGAGAGGCCTGTAATTGTCATCATAGGTACACGTCAACTATGACAGACAAATTGAGGAAAAAAATTCCAGAAAATCCCATTGTAGGATTTTTAATGAATTTATTTGCAAATTATGGTGGAAAATAATTATTTGGTCACCTACAAACAAGCAAGATTTCTGGCTCTCACAGACCTGTAACTTCTTCTTTAAGAGGCTCCTCTGTCCTCCACTCGTTACCTGTATTAATGGCACCTGTTTGAACTTGTTATCAGTATAAAATACACCTGTCCACAACCTCAAACAGTCACACTCCAAACTTCACAATGGCCAAGACCAAAGAGCTGTCAAAGGACACCAAAAACAAAATTGTAGACCTGCACCGGGCTGGGAAGACTGAATCTGCAATAGGTAAGCAGCTTGGTTTGAAGAAATCAACTGTGGGAGCAATTATTAGGAAATAGAAGACATACAAGACCACTGATAATCTCCCTCGATCTGGGGCTCCAAGCAAGATCTCACCCCATGGGGTCAAAATGATCACAAGAACGGTGAGCAAAAATCCCAGAACCACACGGGGGGACCTAGTGAATGACCTGTAGAGAGCTGGGACCAAAGTAACAAAGCCAACCATCAGTAACACACTTCGCCGCCAGGGACTCAAATCCTGCAGTGCGAGACGTGTCCCCCTGCTTA